GTTATGACCGATTTTTCACAAGACTGAAATAATTTTGATTGATGATTATATAGAATGGTTCTCAATGGAAAAGCATTGAGGGACACTTCTTTTTCATTGTTGATATTTTCCAGAAAATATTTTTTATTGTGTATTGCTGCAATTGTATTTAACATAACTGTCACACGTAACATATGTAATGTTGGACTTTGACGACCTTCATTTTTAAACTTCATAAATTCCTCATGCCAAATTTTAGAATTCCATTTTAAACGAAAAATAAAATGTGTTTGAGGATTAAATTGCAAGATATCTGGTGTTGCTTCTTTCATTCGGATACCATACCAATTTTCAACATTTATATCCACACCAATGGGATCACCACTATTGAAACTATACGGTTCTATTTGCAATGTTAGCATTTTCTTGTTATTTGTTTGAATTTGTAATTGTCCAATTTGTAGGCACTGATCATAAACAGACTGGTTTGTTAATTCAACAATAGACACATCACCTTGAAGTTGAACTCTTTTTACAGAATTTTGAAATACCGGATGCGATTTTAATGCTTGTTGTATAAAATAAGTTAAACTTGTTGGCATTGGTTTAACAACTAGTTTACATCCTAATGTATCCGTTTTAAATAACAGAGTACCATAAAAATTAATTGAACGTTTTTGTATCCATTGGTGTACTGTATTTGAGGCTAAAATAATAGCTATTGTTGAATTTTTATTTAATTCAATATGAAATAATTTTTTTAATTCTTTTTGTTCTGCTATTGTTGATGGAACTGGCGCTGATGCTGTGCTTGTGTCTGTCTTTTTCTTCTCTGGTACGAATAGTTGATATAAATCTTGTGCTTGTTGCTGACAATAATCTGTTTGCGTTGATACATCTTGTTCAGACATATCTAATTGTGTAACAATAAATGAAAACAATAGTAAATCTATCTTTTTGGAATATTGTGCTGAAATTAATTGCAATGAAATATTCTCTAAAAATGTACAATCAGCACGTACATAGATAAAAAATATTTTCTGGAAAATATCAACAATGAAAAAGAAGTGTCCCTCAATGCTTTTCCATTGAGAACCATTCTATATAATCATCAATCAAAATTATTTCAGTCTTGTGAAAAATCGGTCATAAC